AAACATCATGGACAGGTACTTTTAATTCTTTGAGTCCACAAAATTGATCAATTTGTTAAAAGTCAAGGTTTCTGCGTCATATACAATTTTTGCTTTTGATGATGTGTGTTGTACTAAAAACGTAAATTAGCGCCACCTTTATCACCCGTCACATTGTCCGACATAAATCTCATATACTCTCATAAAAAAAGGATAAATTTTACAATTAAGTACATCTCAGGATTACAGAGTCACATATTGAAATGGTGTCCTGTCCCTATACCCCGACAATGTTAGAGGTTTAACACGGCGAGATACTTTTGACAAGCCACAGCTGATTTTCCCGTTGCTGATGATCAAATTTTCAAAGTTCGGATTTAGCAAAAGTATATTGCATTTACATACATTTAAATGTACAGGGTCATATAAATATTCCTTTCCATAAATCCATGATTAAATGAGAAGAATTTCGTGTCAAAGACATAAATAATAAGTTTTTCCTCTTTCGAAGTGAAGCAGACAATAGTTGCTGTGAATTCTGGTTAATAAAAAATGAATTACATGTAATGTTCTACAAGCGGAATACAAACAAACACTGTATCATTTCGTTGAAATCCCCCCTGCTGTTTTGTTTTAACCCAGGAAGCCATGTTTTAAAAGTAGGTCAGAGAAGTGCTATAACAACATGGACATGTATTTTGAGTGTTCTATTCCTTAATATATTATATATTTGTGTCTGTGGCATAAATATGGGATCTGTATTATATGAACTGTGAGTAGACATCGTTGTCATGAACTGTTAACGACTTAAGTGAGTTTTTGAAGCCGATTTTGTTCCGTCCGGATTTTCGGGCGGAAGAAATAAGAGGTCGCAGTCAGCATAATCTTATCCGATAGAAAAAAGGCTGACCAGCGGCCTCTTATGTTATAGGAGTAGTCCTGTCCCCTGCTATATATGTAAAGCTATGGCCCTTGGTTTATCATGAATCAACTCATCAGGGTCGTATACTCTGTCACCTACAACTACCAAAACTTGTATGTGAGTACCTCTTTGAATGTATCAAGTGGGACCTTTGTTCATTTTTGATACCAAAGCTTGTCCGAAGGAGGGGTAATATGTGTAACAGGAAAGAGAATAGTGTGGTTCCACTGGGGTTTGAACCCGTGATCCCTAGGTTCCTAGTCCGACGCTCTACCACTGAGCTAAAGGGAAATTCCCTCTAGCTCAAAGCTAGAAGGCAACAGTAATCCAATGTACAATCAACTCATTCACCCCTGAAATTTCATAATGAACTATTCCAACCTTTGAATTGGAAGAGTTCAAATGTGTCTTCAGGGGTGAATGAGTTAAAATCTGTAACCTATGGATTGCTCGCCAAGCAATACATCCATTTGTTCATGAAGCTTTGAGTTGAAAAGTTTTTGTTGCAGTCTAAACATAACATTAATATAATAAAATATTCCTTGTTTCTAGAGAATAGCAGTCATACTCAAAGTGATTGGAAGAGTTTTCAGTGTGTTCACTGGTGTTTCAATTTGTTCGACCAACTCATTGAAATAAAACAGGTATTGGTAAGGAAATCTGATTCTGCTCTATATAATGCTGTACTCCTACAATCCAGTATAAACGTTGATTGCTTAATACTCAAGATACAAGATACAATAATCAGCTTTGTTTCAGAGATATTTGGATTTGTTGCAGATTCTTTGATGTTGGTTTGAAGTTAACTGAAAATGAGATTAATCAGAAGAAAACGCAACATAAATAATCTATTTATAGTCCATGCGTAATTGAAAGCAAGACAGAATTAGATCCGATATATTGACGCAGGATAACCAATAATCAGTGTTTAAATCTTCGTGAATTTAATTCATGAGTGTGTGCGATTCTGTTAATTATTTAATTTTGTCAAAGTTTGAATTACAAAAAGATTCATTTTATTGATTCAGTTGTCTATATAGATACAGTGATCTGTAAATTAAGCCAATGTCAAGTCTAGTTTTAAAATTAAGCCAATTAATGTCAAGTCTAGTTTCAAAATTAAGCCAACTAATGTCAATTAAGTCTAGTTTTAAAATTAAGCCAACTAATGTCAAGTCCAGTTTTAAAATTAAGCCAACTAACAATTAATGTCAAGTCTAGTTTCAAAATTAAGCCAATTAATGTCAAGTCTAGTTTCAAAATTAAGCCAATTGCAGATCAAGTTTCAAAGTAAAGGATAAAGTCCTGAGTAAGTCCTTAAGTCCTGTATTGTTACAGAAAATTGTATCGACCAGACCTTTCAACATGATCCAAATAACAAGTGTATACATTTTTATAAAAATAATGATAACAATATACAGTGTACAATATTTGAGATGAGCCCTACCTAAATATGAAATTACTCTGCGGTATTTTACAGTATATATAATACACATATCCTACACACCAATCAGTCCAACAGTTCCTAAGAACATATATTATTCAACATACATAGACTAATTATTGTCATTACAATTGATGTACCCGGATGTTTATGATTCACTTTGTAAAACATGTGCTCCAGGCCTGTCAGTATCTGGTCCATGTTTCACAAGCATTTCTTAACTTAAGGAACCTTGTCCCACTACAGGCAAAACACTAGAGAGTTCTACTCCAGGTTTTCATAAAACAGTAGCGTCCTTTTTATATGGGGGTAGGGGAGCCTCAGGGATTCTGGGGCCTGAGATATGAATCATGATCTTGAGAGTTGTCCTTAAAGGGAGAAAACTTTCAAATTTTATTTATGTAAATTGACCTGTTAATTTGAAAAAAAAACGCCTTATATACATAGAAATATTAATGTTCACTTTAGACAGGTTTTACAGTGTGTTCATTCTAGACAGGATAAACTTTTTATATAATAAAATATAATGGATACAGTTCAATATATTTCTGATTGGGGTGCTAAGCCAAAAAACCTGTTTACTGTGTTATGACAACATTTTGATTTGATTAATGTCCATCCTTCTGTTCATGCCTGGCTAACTGTAAGGATGATTTATGCAGAACTAGCTTTGTTCTGTGGTGTGGATTCGGGCTTTGTTTCTCTGATGCCTGGCATGATTCATCAGTCCGTAACCTGCAATACATGAATCTTCTTCCATTACCACACAAAGGAATCAACATATTGATCCATATTTTGATAGCTTTCTATATTTCCACTGCATTGTGACGTGGCTAGTGTCTGCTCACTTTATTCTGGGGACGTCTAATATCACAGTCCATTATAGTTACAGACTTATTGTCATGTCCTGCTTTAATTCATCGATTGAATATCATTTAACGTTATCTTATCTAAATGGTTAAATATACAATATAAAGACCACCTGTCAATAGAGACCACTTGAACTAAGCTAGTACCTTTCAACAAAGACCACCTGTTGATAGAGACAATCTGACCTAAGATATTACCTTTCAATAAAAAACACCTGTCATGAGTTTCATGAATGTGAAAACAACGACAATCCTGTAGATATCTAACCTTTATGAATAAGTGTGAATAATAATGTTCTGGTGCACAGATCGAAAGAGAACTTGTACTAGTGTTTCTTGTCATGGTCAATTTGGCCTCGTTATGGAGGTGACTGGGGTGAAAATTATTTCTGGTAGAGCTGTATCTTATGATAGCTGGTTTCCAATGATACTTGTTTTTTGATGACAAGACATCTCTTATGATAGCTTATAATACAGTATATAGTATGTGTTCTAATGTAAATCAAAAGATATATATACAAGTGTATAACCTTGTGTAAAGAAATATTAAATTTTAGTCCAAATAGACATTAAATTCCCACACATGATGCATATCTCCACGATACATAGCCCTTGTGTGGGTCCTTGGTGGTTGATTAGAGAACAGTGATTCTTAAAACTGCATCAACACATGCCACCTCTGTTAATATGTATGGCTAATACGATTAAATATTCATTTACAAATTGATGCTGGAGTAGATAGGATCTTCTGATCTTAACTTTTGGAGACATCCTGCGAGGGGAAAAGACTTAATTGATAAGGTGGCAGAATTCCACACTGTTCTAAGATCAGACACCGTTTTAATGAAAATTGCACATTTCTCCATGTTGGGATTTAAATTGTAATTACTGCGTAATTGAATGACTGAAATCAGGAAAGTTTTAATATGTTGCTTCCCCTCCCCCTCCCTTTCCTCAGCCAGTCGGACACGCCCACTTGTAACAGCCGACCTCTGTAGGACACTGAGTCACTGACAGAGTCCTCTCAAAGCTGGTGAATCATACCAATTCCGGCCATTCATATTTTTCTGTCAAAAGTGGTGTTAAAAAAGAGTAATTCAGGACGACTGCATCTCAAGAGTTGACACTGGAAGCAGTTTGATGTGTCTGGCTGGTAAACGTGATGCTCACATAATAATTATACACGGTGACATGTCTTCAAGGGGGTAGTAAACGTTGTTTCAACAAGAAGTGAGGAATTATTCAAAAGAAAAAAAAATTGTGATGAACGATGAAGCCTTTTTGTGTATTTTTTATTGACTGTTTCTTCTCCAGGTCCGTTTTAGTACATTAAACCTCTATAAGTGTTCATGTGATTACTAGGGTAACTGGAGTAGTGTATGGAATATAGTCTGTGACTAATTTAATTACAAAATTCTACCTATAGACGGGATCTGTATTATAAGGTGTTGGTCATGTTGATGTTTGTAAGTTTAGGACCAGAATATAAGGTGTTGGTCATGTCGATGTTTGTAAGTTTAGAACCAGAATATAAGGTGTTGGTCATGTCGATGTTTGTAAGTTAAGGACCAGAATATAAGGTGTTGGTCATGTCAATGTTTGTAAGTTTAGGACCAGAATATAAGGTGTTGGTCATGTTGATGTTTGTAAGTTAAGGACCAGAATATAAGGTGTTGGTCATGTCGATGTTTGTAAGTTAAGGACCAGAATATAAGGTGTTGATCATTTCTATGTTTGTAAGTTAAGGACAAGAATATAAGGTGTTGGTCATGTTGATGTTTGTAAGTTAAGGACCAGAATATAAGGTGTTGGTCATGTTGGTGTTTGTAAGTTTAGGACCAGAATATAAGGTGTTGGTCATGTTGATGTTTGTAAGTTTGGGACCAGAATATAAGGTGTTGGTCATGTTGATGTTTTTAAGTTTAGGACCAGAATATAAGGTGTTGGTCATATCGATGGTTGTAAGTTTAGGACCAGAATATAAGGTGTTGGTAATGTTGATGTTGATAAGTTTAGGACCAGAATATAAGGTGTTGGTCATATCGATGTTTGTAAGTTTAGGACCAGAATATAAGGTGTTGATCATGTCTATGTTTGTAAGTTTAGGACCAGAATATAAGGTGTTGGTCATGTCGATGTTTGTAAGTTTAGAACCAGAATATAAGGTGTTGGTCATGTCGATGTTTGTAAGTTTAGAACCAGAATATAAGGTGTTGGTCATGTCGATGTTTGTAAGTTTAGAACCAGAATATAAGGTGTTGGTCATGTCGATGTTTGTAAGTTTAGAACCAGAATATAAGGTGTTGGTCATGTCGATGTTTGTAAGTTTAGGACCAGAATATAAGGGGTTGATCATGTCTATGTTTGTAAGTTTAGGACCAGAATATAAGGTGATGGTCATGTTGATGTTGATAAGTTTAGGACCAGAATATAAGGGGTTAGTCATGTTGATGTTTGTAAGTTAAGGACCAGAATATAAGGTGTTGGTAATGTCGATGTTTGTAAGTTAAGGACCAGAATATAAGGTGATGGTCATGTTGATGTTTGTAAGTTAAGGACCAGTCCAGCTCTGAACTCTCCGACAGTAGAAGGGGTCATCCCAGTTCATTAACTTCCCAGCGTCCCTAGCTCGGTCAGTTTAGGGATATCTCTGTACCATACAAATCAAAACTTGAAAAAATATTTCTGTATAAATTGTTGTTGAAAAGTTGATATTTATAAAGCTTTCAAATCTTCTTCTGAAAACCTGTTTTATATGCTACGAATATGCAGTCTGATCCATATCTTGATGTCAATTGAGGGTCACGATAAATCTTGTAAGCATAGGCTAGAATTTGTATTGGAGTAGAAAATTAGCCTGTCTTTCCAGAGTTCAGATATTAAACAGGATAGTGATGCAGGCCTCTGAAGCCTCTTGTTTAGTTTACATTCAGGGAAGAATTGAAAACAAAAGACTATATTACATAACAAGGATAAGAATTACGATGTTTTTTAACAGGTTGATATACATCATTGTGGGCCTAAAAGAAGCCTGGTGATTATATACAAAAGAGCAGCTACTGTCTGTGTGAATAAAGATTATACAGGTTTAACGGCGTTATTTAATGGTGCATTATTTTCTCCATTATCTGCCCTTCTCTAGCTCAATAAATGGGCCTAGGTCGGACAGATCTTGCAGTGATCTGCTGCTGTTAAAGGCTGACAATTGTAATGAAGCATGTCGCTGACAAGGATGTGCACTTCCTGAGCTCTGGTCGAACCAACATGGCGCTGCAAGGAATCAGGAACGCTGTCGTAATTGTTGTGCCAGACAACGTAATAGCTTTTACTTCACCCTGTCCGATCTGGATGGCTGCACGCAAGTGGGATCTACATCTTTCTTAATCCTATCACGCTGATTCTGTTTCCAAATGTTGCATTTCTTCCAAAAGCCTATATGACTGACATGAGGCTGATGTCTCCATATTGGTGTACAGATAATGATGTCTTGAGTAAGGATTTATTGGAAGGAACTCTTCACCAATTTCTGGTGCTATCTACCTCAACTCTGTGTTAATTTGACATTCAACCAAGCTGAAAAACCTCAGCTGTGTTCATCTAGGCGATAGGTCAGAGGTCAGCTTGGCCCTGAAACATGATACTGTCCAAGTATTTGAGGGATGTTTGATAGTAGGTAGAAGTTTATCTGTATGCTGGCTGAACCTCTATCCAGACTACAATGCCTTCGTATCACCATGGTGATAAAGGTCATAGGTCACCACTTCCTGTTGCATAGGCTTTTGTCTGAATCTCTAGTACAATGGCCGTAAGTGGCACTGGCAGTACCATTGTGTGAGATGCCAGAGGTCAACATTGGGTCGTTACCTAGGATATTGTCTAAATTGTTGAGGGATGTTGATAAGTTGGGAATGGCCTTATCTTTTGACCTATGGGATTTGGCGTGAAGTGATGAGATGGAGCTTATGTCAGGAGCACCAAGTCAACCCCCCTGTGATTGGCTGTCAATGATAGGCGATCAGGGGGCACTGCTAACAGAAGACAGGTGGCTCCACCTGTCAGCAGTTACTTCTCCTTAATATCTTCATCCGCAGATTAGTTCCTGCTTAATGAAGAAAACAAAACAAAAATAATTAAACAAGACAGAAAAAAATATCATTTGGAAGCACAATTGTTATTTATTAAAGTTCCTTGTAAGGAGATAAAACATGGTAACTACATCATTATTTCTGGTTATTTTTGTTTTGTGTTTAAGTATTAAAAGGTTATATTCAAATCCATTTCACTGCTTAGCAGGCTGAAACATGACAGCAACCAGGCTAAAGAAGAATATACTTTATGGAAACCAGATTTCAGGAGTTGTTGAACTTCTTTTACTTTTATAATTGGATTTGTATATTTGATTCTGTTGTCTGTGACACAAACAATAATATACAGGGAAGATTGCTATTGTGGGTAAGGTTATAACTTACAACAGCCGTTCTGTGTTATACATCAGTGTAGAGACCTCTGTCATACTGCTGAGAGGTAGAAATGTTTAGCGGGGTAAAAAGGAGTCATTACGTAGCGTCAGGGTGCCGACAGCATCAGTTCTGGGCCCACCAAACATACTGTGGCAGCAAACACGCTGGGGGCTCTGTGTGCATCCAGCAGAACACCAAACGCACAATGCACCTGCATTTTTTTGTAAATGGGGTTTTGTTCTGGAGATGTCCAAATTACAACAGCATTAGTGTTAAGTAAATGTCTACTCATGTCTGTGGAACGCACCTGTGACAGACAGATGTCTGTGGAACGTACCTGTGACAGACAGATGTCCCAACTGATTGTAGGGTGGTACATCTCTGGGTACTCATTTGTATGTTTCGTGGCCTACATAAGTATCGTAAAAGGTACAGTGCTTTATTATAAACATAACGAGGTGGTACACATCTTTTCTGTATCATATTGACACGTTACTCAGTATCATAAATTCTATCAAATTTTATTGATTAAGAAAATAACATAATTCATAATGTTTGTAATTTAAATATAAACAACCCTGATGTGCTGACAATGGGTGCTGACACACCTAAGTTTAATTGAGAGGAGATAGGTTGACGAGGTTATTTAATTATCTGGTAAAGCACCAATTACAGTGTAATTAATGGGAACAGTCTGTACCAACCAAACCCATACTGAGATATAAATTATAGGGCATTTTGATTGTCATTAGGCCAAATAAAAACATTTCTTGTCTCCTGTAACCGACTTTAAGGTTAGTTCCAAAGCACCTACCCATGCACACTCATTTCTTGCCTTTATTTAAGACAAGCATTTATTGTTTAAGTATGAAAGTTATTGTAAAACAAAACAATATTTTTTCCTCAGTTCACACTATTTCATCGGAGAGCTGAAATAAAAACCACAACCATTATCTTGTTTGTCCTTAAATGTCTTTTACATGGAAATGACAACTCGATGTCAGATCAGTGTTAAAACTTAAAGTGAATTTCAGAGATTTGTCTTACCTTGTACATCACTATAACAGTAATAGTATCGCTACCTTGAGCCTAATGTTTAAATTGACAAATTACCTCTGGTTGGCCTGTTGTCAGAATAGTTTAACCAACGTGTAACATTTCAGTGTGTTAGCACTATAGAAAAGCCCCATTAGTACCTGACTAGTGGCCATGGTCATGTGACCACAGCTGTAACAGAGACTGAACACCCCTAACATGTCACAACCAACATTTATCATTGATGAATTACCATTTCAGGTCTGACCTTTTTTCTCTCTAACTGGGTTGCAGACATATGTCCTAATATCTAAACACTGCAGGCACATCATCTCTGTGTGATTAAATTAGCCACAATAAGCTCTGTGGCAGATGTTCTATGAACAACAGTATAGTTGCTTAGCAGCATCTAAGGGAAGTAAACCAGTGATGACCAAATATGTAATCAGGACACATGGTTTTGTCTGCACAAACAATGGACAGCAATCAAGACGTACCTGGATGACAGGTATTCCCTTATATTGATCTGTACTCTGTACTACCTGACGATATTCCCTTACTGGTCTGTACTCTGTAATACCTGACGATATTCACTTACTGGTCTGTACTCTGTAGAACCTGACGATATTGCCTTACGTACTGGTCTGTACTCTGTAGTACCTGACGATATTCCCTTACTGGTCTGTAGTACCTGACGATATTCCCTTACTGGTCTGTACTCTGTAGTTCTTTACTGGTCTGTACTGTGTAGAACCTGATGATATTCCCTTACTGGTCTGTTGTACCTGACAATATTCCCTTACTGGTCTGTACTCTGTAGTCCCTTACTGGTCTGTACTCTGTAATACCTGATGATATTCACTTACTGGTCTGTACTCTGTAGAACCTGACGATATTGCCTTACGTACTGGTCTGTACTCTGTAGTACCTGATTATATTCCCTTACTGGTCTGTACTCTGTAATACCTGATGATATTCACTTACTGGTCTGTACTCTGTAGACCCTGACGATACTCCCTTACGTACTGGTCTGTACTCTGTAGTACCTGCCGATATTCCCTTACTGGTCTGTTGTACATGACGATATTCCCTTACTGGTCTGTTGTACATGACGATATTCCCTTACTGGTCTGTTGTCCATGACGATATTCCTTTACTGGTCTGTTGTACCTGACGATATTCCCTTTCTGGTCTGTTGTACCTGACGATATTCCCTTTCTGGTCTGTTGTACCTGACGATATTCCCTTTCTGGTCTGTTGTACCTGACGATATTCCCTTTCTGGTCTGTTGTACCTGACGATATTCCCTTTCTGGTCTGTACTCTGTAGTTCCTTACTGGTCTGTACCCTGTGGTACCTTACAGTACCTTACTGGTCTGTACTCTGTAGTACTGACGATATTCCCTTACTGGTCTGTAGTTCCTGACGATATTCCCTTACTGGTCTGTCCTCTGTAGTACCTTACTGGTCTGTACTCTGTTGTGCCTGACGATATTCCCTTACTGGTCTGTAGTTCCTGACGATATTCCCTTACTGGTCTGTTGTCCATGACGATATTCCTTTACTGGTCTGTTGTACCTGACGATATTTCCTTACTGGTCTGTACTCTGTAGTACCTTACAGTTCCTTACTGGTCTGTGCTCTGTAGTACCTTACTGGTCTGTACTCTGTAATACCTGACGATATTGACTTACTGGTCTGTACTCTGTAGAACCTGACGATATTGCCTTACGTACTGGTCTGTCCTCTGTAGTACCTGACGATATTCCCTTCCTGGTCTGTACTCTGTAGTACCTTACTGGTCTGTACTCTGTAGTACTGACGATATTCCCTTACTGGTCTGTACTCTGTAGTACCTGGCGATATTCCCTTACTGGTCTGTACTCTGTAGAACCTGACGATATTCCCTTACTGGTCTGTTGTACCTGACCAGGTGAACACTTGCAGTTTT